AGTGGTCATCCAACAGCACGCCCTGCTAACCCTTTTAAATGGCTATTGGTACAGAGCTAAGGCTATGCTTTGGAGCCATGGTGACCTGTGTCAGGACATATCTAAATTAATATTGCTTTTCTAAAGTTAAGAAGATGCTGGTGTGTCACAGTTCAGTTTTATCTAAACTGTAGGCTGTACAAATTATCCAGAGACAGTTGGAGAGGAAATTAGCAAGTCATGATCTGCCTATGAAACTGCAGGTTGGATTGAGTTGTCATTATTTTGTTTTAGAAATCTTCCCTGTAGGAAGAACATTCTGGTAGCAAATATTTAAGTTATTCAGACTCAATTGGGGCCACTCATAAACCTGAAAAGTGAACCCCGAGGAGAAATTACTCTGGCACCTAATATTGGATTGAAGTGCTACCTTTTGGGGGCACATTGGAACATTCTAGGTGTGGTCAGGTCTACCATCTGCTCAGCTGTGTTGTGACTAGGCTCTGATGTGTGGCAACGAGCAACAACCGGTGAGGAAAGAGAGCGTATCTAAGGGGGGAGTGGGGTCCTGGCAACTTGTCACATCCCACCTAGTAAATATTACATGATGTTGGAATACCTTTCTGTGTGGTATAATTCATGGTTTCAATAATTAATGTCACCAGTACATTTCTCTGAGTGCTGGAGGTAAATAATTTACTGTAATTAACAAAGAGGCAGAAGATTTTTAATTTATCAGACTTAAAAAAAAAAACAAAAAGGGTCCAAGCGGAAAATAACCCCAGGGCATCACACATTACAATTGTAGTTTGTCCCTACAACCCCTCCCACCCCAAAAATATTGAAGTGGCTTTGCATTCAGTCCTTGACCCTACCTTGACAGTTGGCTGCTGGCATCTGTAATCACTGGTCTAAGTAGTTAGTAGATATGACCAGGCTGAAAGTGAGTTTCTGAAATGAATTACTGCTATCCGAGGTTAAGGTCTCAGTTCTGTCCAATTGTGTTAGATTCTTCTTGTTTGTTTATTTGTAAGGTTTCTGTTAGGTCTTTATGTTCCTGGGTGTATATGTCTCTACCAAGTGTATACAGAGTCTGTGGAGGCCAGAAGAGGGTGTTGGATCCTCTGGAACTGGAGTTAGAGATGGTTGTAAGCTCTGTATGGGTGCTAGGAGCCAAACATGGGTCCTCTGCAAGAATAGCTAGTGCTCTTAACTACTGAGCCATCACTCCAGCCCCAGCTTTAAATTCTTAATTACACACACACACACACACACACACACACACTGGCTATGTCTTCTCTTGATGAATGCAGTGATAACTATTCCTCATTCAGTTTTTAATTTTTCCTAGGGCATAGATAGTAAGCTACATATAATAACATATGTACATATGGTTATTTTGGAAATGTCAGAGCTCTTTTGTTTTTAAGGCTGAGAAGATGGCTTAGTCCTTAAAGTTCTGATTCCTGGCCCCAGGTCCGTGTAAAAAGTAAGGCTTGGCACATGCTTGTAATACCAGTGCCGAGGAGGTCGAGACAGAAGGTCCCTAAGGCTTGCTGGCCAGCCAGCTTGATCAAATTGGTAAGCTCCAAGCCAGTGAAAGACCTTGTATCTCAAAAACCAAGGTAAACAACTTTCGAAGTATGATACTCATAACACACACACACACACACACACACACACACACACACACACCATGCACCTACTCGTACACACACAAAATAAACAATTTGAGTCATTTGGGGTATATTTGCAAGTTCAGGGTTTTTTGTTGTTGTTGTTGTTGATTGGTTGGCTGGCTTAGTTTGTTTTGTTTTCTTGAGGTACAGTCTCATGTAGCCTAGGCTAGACTCAAAATCACTCGGTATATAGCAAGAGATGACCCTGAGTCCCTGACCATCTAGTGTACCAGGATTCAGGTGTACACCACCATGACTGGTTTATCCTGTGCTGTGCATCACTCGAGCATAGGGCCTCTGCACACTGGGAAAGCACTCTGCCAACTGACCCACATCCCCAGCTGAAGCAAACCTATACAAGCTATACTTGTTAGGAGAAAATGCCGTCCCTGCATGTATGTTGCAACCTCATTTTCTTCCCAGGACTTTCTCTGGTTGCAGTTTTAGTATTTGTTTTCAGGTCTCCAAATAAGAAGTGTGTTATTTCGCTGGGCGTTGGTGGAGCCCGCCTTTAATCCCAGCACTCGGGAAGCAGAGGCAGGTGGATCTCTGTGAGTTCGAGGCCAGCCCGGTCTTCAGAGCGAGTGCCAGGATAGGCTCCAAAGCTACACAGAGGAACCCTGTCTCAAAAGACCAAAAAAAAAAGTGTGTTATTTCTTGGTGGATTTTTCTCTAATGGGGAAATTATTTTCTTGGTTTCTCCAGTTAGAAAAGGAAGCTGTGATGTTTGTGTCCGTCTCCTTTCCTCAACCATGTGCATTTCTGATCTGCCTGTTTCCCAGGGAGTTGTATTTTATTTGGGGTTCTATCTGTGTTTCATACATAGACATGTATTTCATGTAGATCAAGTTTTTTTTTTTTTTTTTTTTTTTTTTTTTTTGGGGTTTTTTTTTGTTTTAAAAAAAAAAATTTTTTTTTTTTTTTTTTTTTTTTTTTGGTATGGGGTCTCATGTCTTGGTCTCCCTTGTCTAGGGCATCTGGCTTTCTATCTCCCAAGTGCTAGGATTACAGGCTTCTGCCACCCTACCTGACTAGTGTTTATTTTTTTATAATTTATTTAATTTTATTTTATACACATTGGTGTTTTGCCTGCAAATATGTCTGTATGCAGGAATCAGACAGCTGTGAGCTGTCATGTGGGTGTTGGGAATTGAACTCAGGACCTCTAGAGGAGCAGCCAGTGCTCTTAACCACTGAGCCACCTCTCCAGCCTCTTATTTATACTTTTATGCCTCTCAAAGTACTTCCCTTGAAAGCCAGATGGTGATGGTGCATGCTTTTAGTCCCAGCATTTAGGAGAGAGAGGCAAGTGAATCTCTGAGTTCAAGGACACTCTGGTCTATAGAGCGAGTTCAAAAACAGCCAGGGCTACAGAGAAACTGTCTTGGGAGAAAAAAAAAGTAGTACCCTTAAATATATTGTTTATTAAACTTGAATTTCCGTTTCACTCTTTAAAAAAAATTCCCTAGAATTTTTATTTTCTTCTTCTCTGTACATACCAATCACCCATCCCGAAGGCCTTCCTCACATGATACAAATCTGCTGTGAATGTGTCCGTACCTTGTCCCTGTGCTGTCAGTCTTGTCTACTTAGTGTGAGACTCTCAGAGCCTTTTCACTTGCCTGGAAGCCCACTGCACAGATCCACTCTTGGGCCTGGCATCATTTTGACATACCCTTTGTTTTATCATCTATTAGATTCCGTGCCTTCCTTTTTCCTTTTTGAATTAGTCCTTCATTTGGTTGGAGTATATTTTGAAGTATTATCCTTGGAGACTGTATGAGTAATCCGTTTTTTTTTTTTTTTGTTTTGTTTTGTTTTGTTTTGTTTTTTTTTGTTTTTTTTTTTTTTTTTTTGTTTTGTTTTGTTTTGTTTTGTTTTTTTTGAGGTTTTAAGTATCCGGAAATACCTCTTTATGAACTTGGTTTGCCTAATGAGGGAACTGTGAGCTGATAAAGCATTTCCTCTTAGAACACTTGAGGGATTAATTACTCCATCACCTTTGTCATGTTTTTTGCTTTTTGCAGTGCGATGGAGGGTTGCAGTCTGTGGCCATGCCTGTCCTTAGGTTCTGAAGCTTCTTGCTGATGCACCCTGGTGGGCACAGTGGTGTCTTCCTCTCCCACACTCTTTGGCGTGCAGTGGATCCTCTGAGGACACACGTGTTCCTTGTTATCTGCTACTTCACTTTGTTTGCTTTCTAGAAGTGTTTGTTGATCTGCTTGTAGGGGAGAATTTGAGCCTCTTGTGTTGACTTTTGATTTCTCATAGTTTTCTCCCTTTTATGAGAGAGAGAGAGAAAGTGGGGTGTGTGGGGTGTGCCCAAGTCTGCTGTCTCCACTTCCCACCTCTCTGTAGGAATGCTGGCATTATAGATGCCTGTATTACATCTGGCTTTTTAATGTGGGTTCCAGCGGTTGAACTCAGGTCAGCAGGCTTACACAGAAGCACTTTTACTGCGGAGATATCTCTTCTGCCCTTGATGGCCACTTTAGTCCCATCAAGTTTTTGTTGCAATGAGGGGCAAGTACTTTGGAGCCTCCTGAATCTTTGTTTGCAATCCTGGCATGAGCTCTGGGTCCCCTTTTCCGTGATAAGTTCTACGTCTTCATCCTCTCTCCCATGGAAGTGCCGACAAGCTCTCCCGTGCTTGGTGGGGTTTCCAGCTCCCCTTCTGCTTTAGCTCCACAGTGTAGCTTGTGTCCTTAGAAGTCTACAGTATGCCTGAGGCCACCCAACTCTCCATCAGAACCTTCTCGGGCTTCCTCTTCTTCAGCAGCCATCTTTGTAGACGCAAACACCTGTTCTGTCCACATTTACAATGGACAAACGTTCCCAAGTTAGAAATGATGGGAAGTGAATCCCTGGCTTCCAGATCTTCCACTCAGAGGCTGTCTATTGCCCTCTGCTACTGCAGAGTTTCTGTGTCTTCCTCGGGCTTTCTTGGTGGGAGTCTAGACTGCTGCCAGCCACAGTGATCCATGCGTGTCACAGTCATCAGGATTGAATCTGCATTTTGAGAATGGGGGCAGGGGCGAGAGTTTAAAGTTGTAGGATTCATTTGAACCAATTAATGTTCTCCGTGTTTCCTTTACCATACAGATAATGCTGGAGTTCGTTCTTAGGATTTCCATATGAAATATTTTGTCAGTAGACTTTATTTATTAAATGCTCTTCTCTATACAGAACCTAATGTAGACCTCGTGAGCAAAACTTGCAAATTCTTTATATTGAATGTTAGCTTATCCAGGTTTATAAAGAAATGCAGAGGTATTCTGTATGTATAGAGAGAACTGGTGTCTTCCGTAGGTGGTTGATAGCACGCTCTGTTTTATTTTTCAGCACCTAACATTCACAAGGGAGTTTGATTCAGATTCTCTCAGACACTACAGCTGGGCAGCAGACACCTTAGACAATGTGAACCTGGTCTCAAGCCCTGTGCATTCTGGGTAAGTGCTCTCATGCCATCTCTCTATTCCATTACACTCATAGTGCATTTATTATTTAGTTATCCATGCATATGGAAAACCTTCATATCCCTGATCATATTCACCTGTGAAATATATGCTCATTTGTGAGAGTGTGTGGTTTGCATTTGTAATCATTTAATAAGTATTTTGGGGGACAAGTCTGTCTGCATTTATTCCTAAAAGTGGAGTATTAGAAAGCAATTGGTTATTGACATAGCAAAATTTCCTGATTGTTACGATCTTCTATAAGTCTTTAAAATTCCTTTTCACTGAAAGAGATATAAAACCAAGTTGTTTTTCTTAATTATTTTCCTCAAATGAGGCTTTTTAAAAAATATATGTATCTGATTTTTCTTTCCTATAAAAATACTAAGTGTAGAGCTGGGGAAATAGTTCAGTCAGTAAAGTGCTTGCCACACAAGTATGAAGACCTGGGTTTGGATTCTCCAGAACCCACATTTAAAAAGGCGGGCATAGTGGCTCACCCCTGTCATCCCAGGGAGAGAGAGGAGTGCAGACAGGCAGATCACTGGAGTCTGCAGGCCTGAGTTCCAAGTCAGCGAGGGTCTCTGCCTCAAAAGCAAGGTAAACGTGGTCTGAGGGACAGCACCCAAAGTTGATCCCTAGTTTCCACATGCACAGACACACAGGAGCACCTTAACCGCATGCACATACATGGGAGCATGCCACCCACAGGAATATGCCTGACCACATGTGCATATACAAAAGGGAACATGCCCGACCACATGTATATACACACGGGAGCATGCCTGACCACATGTGCATATACAAAAGGGAACATGCCCGACCACATATGTATATACACACGGGAGCATGCCCGACCACATGTCTATACACACACGGGAGCATGCCCGACCACATGTGTATATACACACGGGAGCATGCCCGACCACATGTGTATACACACACGGGAGCATGCCCGACCACATGTGTATATACACACGGGAACATGCCCGACCACATGTGTATATATACACGGGAGCATGCCCGACCACATGTCTATACACACACGGGAGCATGCCCGACCACATGTGTGTATATACACACGGGCGCGCGCGCGCCCGTGTGTATATACACACGGGCGCGCGCGCGCCCGTGTGTATATACACACGGGCGCGCGCGCGCCCGTGTGTATATACACACGGGCGCGCGCGCGCCCGTGTGTATATACACACGGGCGCGCGCGCGCCCGTGTGTATATACACACGGGCGCGCGCGCGCCCGTGTGTATATACACACATGTGGGCGGACATGCTCCCGTGTGTGTATACACACACGGGAGCATGCCCGACCACATGTGTGTATACACACACACGGGAGCATGCCCGACCACATGTCTATACACACACAGGAGCATGCCCAACCACTTTCATTTACACACACACAAATGCATACATATGTGCACACAAACATCAAATGTATTATAGATTGACTTCACAAACTGATCCAGTGTCCCCATGAGCAGTGTGCTCTGCTGTTTTGATAAGAACCCATTTTTAATCAATGATTTTATTCTCTGCAACTTCCATTTGTAAAAAAGAAACTATAAACTTGAAAGCTTCCAACTGACTCTAGCACCTTCTACATTTCTGAAATAAAATTGCAATTAAGTTATATTTGGAAAAAAAGAAATGAATCTTAAGAGAAAATAAAGAATTTATTTTCTTTAAAATGACTTTAAAATGACTTTATTGACTTTAAAATGTCACACACCATTGTATGTGCCCCAGAAGTGCTGATAAGAGCCTCATTAAGGAGTTCCTCATTGGTCTCACGGCTGAAGTCTGTGACAAGTGAATTGATAATCAGTGCACTTTTGTATGCTGGATTCTTCAGTAGGTAATTCACCTGTGAGATAACTGATAACCGTATAAAAGGGAGGAAAATGATTGCTAAAATAATAAACACTAGACTAGTGAGAGGGCTTAGTGGATAAAGCACTTGAGCAAATATCCACCCAGTCCACATAAAGGCCAGTGTAGCTGCAGTAACTCTGCTTCCAGCCTTCCCAAAGACAGATGGGAGACAGAGACAGAGTCCCTGGAAGCTGGCTGGCCCGCTAGCCTGGCGTTTGTAGCAGTGAACAACAAAAGACCCTGCTTCAAACAGGTAGAAACAGAACTAACAGCCAAGGCTGTTCTGTGACCCCTATGTGTGTACTGTGGCACAGTCACACACATACATACACACACACACACACACACACACACTCTCTCACAGGAACCACACATATCCTTTACACATATACATCATGTACACACATTAAAATAATAAATGTATCAGAGTATATTTCTTTCATTTCTCTTGAAGATAGACGTGTACACAGCAAACGTAATGACAGCCAGAGACACCCCACTTGGAATTCAAAGTACTGATGTCAGGTGTGAGGACCCTGTTCTACGGCAGCTAAGGCAAACATTTATTACAGGCTGTCCCACAAATGCTAAGTGCCGTGGTTTCATTTTCTGAGTTTTTCCTTTTGCTTGTCATTGACATTGTCTGTTGCTTGCTTCTAATGACCGTACATTAATTTCTCCCATTTGCTTTCTAAATTATTTTGCAGCTACTCGTCTCCGCTGCCTCAGTATGACTCAAGGTGATAACCGTGTCCTTTGTGTCTTTTTTCATTTATGTGAAATCCCTCAGTTAGACAGAGTCGGTGTCTGTAGAATGTCCGCACATGTCACCCTGCTGTTTGCCAAACTAGAGGCCTCTGAGTAGCAGTTGTAGGGTCATCGTGGCACTCGTGACGTCATCTGAACAGTAACATAACACAGGAACTTAGAAGCATCGCCTTTGTGTGTTTCTCTTTGTTTCTACAACCTGTGTTGCATGTCGTTTGGGTTTTGCTCAGATCTTGTACAGAATGAGTTTGGAAAACAAAACCGCTGTCTTCCACAGTGTCATTTGCAGACTCATGTCCTGTCTAACCCACTCCACCTTCCCTCTGTGGAGTGTCCAGTAGGAGGTTCTTCCAGTTCATCATTTAAATCCTCTTAGTTATTCACTCCACTTATTCTGATAGTCTTTGTAGCTGACACGGTCTTATATTGGCACCCCCAAACCTCCCTATGCTACCTTCAGACCACTTAGCTAACGTCACCCTGCATCTCTGTTTGCCCATCTATTCATTAGTCTTAATAGCCAGGTCTCACCTATGACGTTTCTAAGCACACAAAGGAAATCTTTGACCATAGATTGATTCCATTGACATTGTGTGCTGGGACTCTGTTGGGCCCTGCAGGCCACGTGGTGAATATGCCAACCCAGTCTGAAGTGCTGTCTGCAATGTTGAGGCTCGGCTGTTGTTAGTGCAACACCCCTAATCCAGACAAGCACTCCAGTGTGCATTTGCACTAGCACAACCTGAGTTCAAGCCCAGAGTTTGTGCTGAGCCCTTCTTCATACACCCAGCGGTAATTAATCTTCACCACTAATTACAGAGAAAACTGAGACTTTTGTCCCCTTATCATGTTGTAGTGCCTTTGTTATTGAATGAAATCAGCTGGTGCTCATGTGTGCACGCACGCACAGTATGTAGTACACGTGTATCTAAGAAAATTAAGCACTTCACAACGATTTTACATGAGCCGGAGACCATTTTGCATTGGAATAATTCATGTGGAACCCTGAGTGGTGAATGGAAGCAGATAACCATTTTCGTTGAGTAGAGAGGGGAGACTCTTTTTACTGTCTCCTTGTTTTGGGGACAGCCTTCCCCTCTCCTGACTTGGATATTCTAGAGGCAAAAGTCTCTCAAGATAGCTAGCGTAATCTCAAGAGCATGAGAGAGAAAAAATAGCTAAATCCAAAACCTGAGCAAGAGGTGAGCCCAGTTCACTGGTGAGCAGTTGATAATGGAAACATGCTCAGCCGAAGGGCTCTCTCCACCCTGTTGCCTCTCTCTGTTGGGGATGGCTGGCCAGTTTGCTGAGGAAGTCTTCCTTGCCAGGAAACCCACAGCTATTGTAGGGGCTTCAGACCTGTTGGCCATGCTGGGATAATTCTATAGAAAAGAATTTTTGGTGGATAGGATTCTTTTCTTAGCGCTTGCAGAAGACACTCTCTGGTGCCACTCAATTGTGTGTGTATTTTTGGCTCTAAAAATCAGCGTGTAAGGATGTTTGTGTTGCCATCTGTCTTGTTGGATTTGTGTTTACCAAAGTGCCCATCGCCAACAGAGAAGGCTTTCCACTGATACAGCTACATCCAGGAAATACATTTTCCTTATTTGCTTTGACAGAGAGGCTGATAACAAACACAGACACTTTCAGAAATAATGTTTAAATTCTACTTCTATCACCACATGGCATGTTTAAATACAGGTGTTTTAATAATGTTTTGGCCTCTATTTTTCAAATGATTATTGGAAAGATTTAATCCCTTTCCATCAAAATCTTAGCAAATGTACTCACCTGCTTTTATCTTTATATTTCATCTCAGTACAAACTTTAGCGTGTTGGTGCGAGTGAATTGTCCCTTTGTCTCACAAGCTGTGTGTTTTATGCTATGCTGTGGAGTTTCATCCTATGTGTACTGGAATGAGACCTCATAAATAGGTCAGGGGAGAAACTAGAGTGAAAATGGCCCTTGACTTGTCCCCTAAGCCATCCTCAAAGGCTACAGAAAATGCTGGGGATTTTTTTTTATCTGCATCCCGTTCATAGATCATTTTAATTCCAACTTGAAGAATATCACTGTTTCTTCTCTGTGCCTATGGTGACTTCCTTGCCTCCTGGGAGGGAGAGCTTCCTTCCACCGAAACCCAGCTGTCTTCCAGTCTTTTCCCTGAGTGTGAGTTCCGTGCACGTCTGATGTGACTCCACAGTAGTGACTTCCAACTGTTGTGTTAGAGAGATGCGCCAGCTGCCTTTTGCCGTACGTTGACACTGAGTTTCACAACTCTTTTGCCAAAGTTCACTTCTGTCCGTGATGGTGTGTGATCTTCCTCCCACAGGTTTCTCGTTAGCTTTATGGTGGACGCGAGAGGGGGGTCCATGAGAGGAAGCCGCCACCATGGGATGCGGATCATCATCCCTCCGCGCAAGTGTACGGCCCCCACCCGAATCACCTGCCGCCTGGTAAAGAGACATAAGCTGGCCAACCCACCCCCCATGGTGGAAGGAGAGGGATTAGCCAGTAGGCTGGTAGAAATGGGTCCTGCGGGGGCACAATTTTTAGGGTAAGTTTCCCCAGTTTTTACTTTGGCCTCTCACCAAGTCTTTGATTTTCCTTTAGTCTTTGCTAACTCAAGACATTAACTGTAAAAATGGCTTGATGGACCTCACAGGGGACTTGGGTGTGGTGTCAAAGGTCACCAACCTGCACATTAGGCTGTGGGTTCCTTAACTCAGTCACTCGCTAAGGCACTTACTAACCAAGGAGCATGCTTTGTGCCCTGCGGGTGCTTGGGTCCCTGCGGCCACCCCATGGAAGTCAAGGCACCACCCTTAGAAAATATTACAGGTGGAATGACAGCTCCACACTGCATAAATGGCTACCTTGCAGACACGTCTCTTTCAAAATAACTCTGAGAGACATAACCCACTGGGGTAGGGTATTTTACAAGAAGGAAAACTAAATTTTGCTTCATTGTCTGAGGTGGCACTTGGCAAGGCAGGCAGGCTCTGTCATGATGGACAGTATGTTCACAATCTCCCCTTCTTGTTTCTCTTCCTGCTGCATGGATGTGTTACTCAGTAAACTGCACCTTCCCACCCATCCTCCCCCTGTAAATGAGGGCGAGAGCTTGGTTAGCCGAATCCTGCAGCTTGGGCCTCAAGGAACAAAATTTATTGGGTAGGATCTTCATAGACAAGATCAGATTGTCTACAATTTTTCCTTTCCATTTTCAATTTTTTTCTGTCACACCCATGGTCTTATTCTTGTTTTCAGTTTGTTCTCCTTTTTTTCTTTTCTTCTTCTTTTTTTTTTTTTTTGGTTTTCTTTTTTGTGCTTTCAGTCGATGTGTGTCACTGAAAGAACACACCCATAGTGGCTTGACTTAACATGGCATTGCCGCTACCTTGTGCTTTTGAAGCATGTGGGACTCACCGCAAGCATTCTGCTGACTTTGTGCATCTGTCGACCCTCCTTTAATTTGAAATGTTTCTTCTCTGTGTACTTACCAAAGCTAGACCGACCGTCTCATTTTAACCAGTGTGTAAGAGAAGGTATTTGCAGGCTTTGAATCAATGTTTGCCACAAATGCCGTGCGTGTGTGCGTGTCTGTGTTTATGTGTCTGTGTGAGTGATTAGATTTAGAAAGCACTTAACGGTACAGTATAATCTTTATGGGCTTTGAGAAGCAAAAGAAATCAACCAATGAGTAAGATAATTTTGAATGTGTCAAGAGCACAAGATATTTAAAGAAATGTGACTGGGGGCAGCTGGGGTGTTCTGTTGAGTTGTCGAATGCCTTTTGTCTTGTTTAAGCTGAAATGTGTCGTTTGTTTGTTTGCTTGTCTGACTGTGTTTGCCTTGGCAGTCTGCATGAAAAGCCTGTTCTGAATTGTCCTGCTTGGCTGTCCCATTGGTCAAAGACCCTGCTTATACCTTCTCTCCAGCATTGTCGAGCATCCTACACAAAGCCACAGAGACAGTCTCGGACACATTAACCTGCAAAGATTGTATCTTGTTCTCAAAAATTAAAATGTTACCTAATGTCTAAAGTACAGCTTAAAATTATGGGAAATTTCTTGATAACACTATTAACACTACTAGAAATAATCGCTCTTGTTTTTACCTGTTAAAGAATAAAGGCATTAAAAAGAGAACTTAAAAAAAAGACATTATAATGATTTTGGCCAAAAGTAAAATCATGATATTCATCAGTCTCATTTGAAATGAATACTTTTATAAGTAATCAGATATTCATGTTTTATTTGTGGTTTTGATCTTTACGACAACCTCTCCTTATGTTCTGCCTTCTGACGTCTTTATGTGTTGCTACCACGTGTATATAACAGCTGGGTTAAGACAGGTTGCACCCAACCTCTCTAGAGAACAATGATACTGTCTATCAAGCATCACCTGAGAAAGCTGCACAATCCAACTACATGAACTGTGTGTGATTGTGGTCTGCTTACTTCCATCCGCCTTTTTATCTATAACCCTGTCAAACGTAACGAAATGATTTCTCAGGACTTGATTGGCGATCTTCAATTTGCAGCCATTCCTGTTCATTCGTTTGAAAAAGGACACTGTCAAAGGCTAATGTCTTTCTATGACAATTTCATGCTGACGTGTACTCTTCCAGAATGTTCCAGTATCCCCGGATAGGTGGTAGTTAGGTCAGGCAATGAGGCTACCAGTCACCTATTCACAAATGGAACAACCAGAGAAACCATTTTAACTAAAAAAACAGGCAAACTGTTGGAGGGACTAGATTATGACAATGTCTGCTTTACTACTGAGAGGGAAAAAAAATAAAGAGATGATCTTCATAATTAGAGTGAATTTCTTTTTTAAAGGAACGACTGTGTCCTTTTAGCTCATTGACATCTCATATTAAATAATGTACCTCTGATGTTTTTAAATTTTTTTTTAAATGGACCAGCTTTCTTTCTTTATGGCCTATTTTAGTCACGTTAACTCCTTCACTCAAATTGCCTATTTACATGTGTTTAACCCCCCCCCCAATTCAATATGATGCCTAACGCACAGTAGGCCTTCAAGAACTGTTTGTGAATGAATGATGGCATGTTATTGGGCTTGGAATATTATTTAATTAGCAATGATTCTGCAGCTTTAAGACCATTCCCAACCCAAATGGCACCTCCGATTTCCAACTCAGTACTGTTAATGAGACTTCATTTTTTTTATTACAAGAATTCTACTATACATGTACTGAATTTGATACAAAAATCATGTGGCTTTTTGTTTTCTAGCCCTGTTATAGTAGAAATTCCTCATTTTGGGTCCATGAGAGGGAAGGAGCGGGAACTTATTGTTCTTCGGAGTGAAAATGGGGAGACCTGGAAGGAGCATCAATTTGACAGCAAAAACGAAGACCTCACCGAGCTGCTGAATGGCATGGATGAAGGTAATGATGCCCCTCGATTCCATGAGTGTAGATGGGGAGAAAGCAAGGGACTGACAGTCGTGTCAGAAGGCTCCTTGAACATGGCATGATGCAGAATGCAGGGTCTTCAGCATCTACTGCTCTGTCCCATGCCTAAGCATGGCATTACGCTGACACTACTACACCCCCAGCACCACCACATATGGACAAACACGCTCATTGCTCTTTAGTTTTTTTTTCGCCCCCCCTCCCCCCCCCCCCCCCCCCCCCCCAAAAGAAAAAACCCCCTCTTTTTTTTTTTTTTTTTTTTTTTTTTTTTTTTTTTTTTTACCAAATTTATCAGTCTTTCCAAGACCTAAGAAGGCATTTTTTAGTTAAAAGAGTAACATGAAGGGGAAAAAAAAAATCCAATAGGAGTATAAAATATTTGACTACAGCATGAGCATTTACAATATATTTTGGGAATTTTTGTTCCATTTTCTCTTATTTCAACATCTTTTGTGATTTTTTTTTCTGTCGCTTGAGCCATAGTGGTTTTTTTTTTTTTTTTTTAATGAGTGTCAAAACTTAATGGAGTTTATGTGTTTTTATATCTTATTCTTTGAGCTAGTAAGGCTAATATGTGGCCGCAGGTCTCTTTCACATATATTTCTTCTTTTAGGAAGTGTCTGGAGGCATCAAGATAGGATTTCATGTAGTCCAGGCAACTTTAAACACCGGATCCTCCTGCCTTTGCCTTCTCAGAGCTAAGATTACAATTGTGTGCCACCCATGACTGGCTCGCGCACATTCTTGAGGTTTTGTGATGCTTAGAACTGTATCAGTTTTTCTTAGTAAGTGTTGGGTACCAAATGGCTTTAAGAGCACTCATTTGATGCAGTTTTTCTTGAGACATGACACAAGAAAAGTTAGAGACCTGACTCATGAAATGGTGTTGTGGAAAGAAATCCCAGCCAATTGTGACAGTGACTTTACTTCCTAATTGGTGTAGATGCCACAGTTGTTTTATGGAACAGTGGAGATCTGTTCCATAAAATCAAAATCCAAAATCGGCTCTTTTATTATTTTATTCACTGTGCTTGGAATTCATCTACTGGGGCGTCTTGTGGGCTCAGACTGTGGACCATTGAGGTAGACAGATTGGGAGTATTTAAAGAATGATAGAGCAAGTCCCTGGGCCCCTGTGAGCTTAGAAATGGAAACTGTTCTCTTTATTTTTATAGGGTTGCCATTAAGATGAATAATTATGTGAAGCCCTTAGGAAATATAATCCTTAAGCTTTTAATAAATATCAGTTGTTGTGACCATTGTTTTCATCTATAGAAAAAAAGGGGGCATAATAAAAATTTGGTATAGATAGAATCACCATCACCTGTCCAATTTCAAGTTACCTATCTATACACCAAAGTAGAAAGAAACTGTTTCGTCTATACTGAAAAAAAAAAAAAATGCCTTTTCTTGTGGAGGTTCCAAAAGGAAAACAATAGCTCACAAGCTCAGCAACCTTATTCTTTATTATTGTTGTTGTTGTTGTTGTTGTTGTTGTTATTTTATGTGTATAAGTGTCTTGCCTGCATGGGTGTCTGTGTACCACATGTGTGCTTGGTGCCTCGGGAGTTGGGGAGCCTCCCTGTGGATGCTGGGAATCGAACCTGGGTCTTTCACAACAGCAAGTGCCCTTAATCACTGAGCCATCTCCCCAGCCCAATTTTATTCTTACTTAAAAGACCATAAAGCAGATATCCACTGAACCCAAAGTGACTTACCCAGCTTGCCTTTCTGAGCAGAGGGGTATGTGACTGAAATCCAGTTGTACCCATTTTAAAAGAGTTACAGCTATACCTACTTGCTTTCAAATTCATGTCCGAGGAGAAATAAGATAATCAGAAAATTCTAGAAGCGTCTAGATTTGGCCAAGATTATGTCCTGAACAGTCCTTGTAAGTCAGTGATACATTCAATGGGTATAGATGATCCAAGGTGTGTGCAAATGCTGCTAGGCAAATAGACTATCTTTTCAGCTCCCACATCCCACCACTGTTCTGATCCCCAAAGATACTTCATGATCTCTAGAATGTTCCTCTACCCACAGCTACTTCAAGATGGGAATCATTCTGGGTTTTGTTTTTGTTCTTTTTAAAAAGTCAGCAAGTTCTTTTCCTCGAAGATTCAACTACAGATTAAGGTTTCCCAGTGAGAGGAGCCCAGGGTCTGGCAGGAAGTCTGTGTCCAGAGCTCATCCAAACCCTCCTGAGGAGGCAGTGCAGCACAGTTAGATGGCAGGGCCCTGGCACGAGTCAGGTGATCCCCTGGTGAAAGAGGAGTACCCTCAGGGTCCCACGCTCATGTGTCAAAAGCATAACTTCAATCTGTGTTCCTCCGGCTTCTTGTCGGACAGCTGTTAGATAAAAAGTAACACATGAAATAGAGCAATCACTCCAGACTTCCTTAAAGAATTAAATCAATCCCACTGTTACTGTACTCAACCCAACAGTTTGTCTAGCCATAATAGGTGTCATACATTGTCTATGGCCAGTAACACCCCAACCCTAACACATGCTTACTATAAATGTCTCCTTTTACTACTCTCTGTGTGTATTATATTAGTCTATATTCAAATAATCAGTCTTCCTAAATATTAGTACCCATGTATTTAGTACCATCTCAGACAACATTCCAGTCTCCAGTTTTTACTAAGCAAGGCAGTTGTGGGTGCAGAGAGATGCTCAGTGGATAAAGCGCTTGCCATGGAAGCATAAGGGCTAGTGTTTGGATCCCTAGAGCCCCCTAAAAACTGCCCAGCCCTGGCAGCTGCCTGCCATCCCGGCTCTCAAGAGGCAAAGACAGGGAATTCCAGAGGCAAACTGGCTAGCCAGACTAGCCAGAATTGGCTAGCTCAAGATTTAGCAAGAAAACCTCCTTCAAGAAATGCTTCCTTCAAGGAAGACTCCTGACCTCAACCTTAGGCCTCTACATGTACAAGTATATAACATCCCAAAAGGAAAATAAAAGTGTTGTAAAGATCAGATAGGCTTTAGTGTTTTAACACACGAATTTTTTCCATGCATACAAAAGTTAATTGATTGCTAGAACAACTGCAAGGAACCACAGGCCCGAGTAGGGCAATTATTTTCCCAGTGTGATATTGATGTTGGCATCATGGTCCATGGAAGTCATTGAAGCCAGAATTCCCATCCTGGCCTCACCACTCCCAGGCAGTGGATGAACTGGTAGATGCAGAGTTCTTGCGGAAATGCCTGCTGCACAGGGCCACTTAACTCCTGTGACCATGCCCAGCATTGCCTCTCTGTACTGTACTGTACTGTACACAAATTCACTTCTATACATTTGCAAATGAAGCATGCTCGTAGTGACGGTTGCTATGAATTCTTGTCCTGAGAGGACTGGGAGTCATCCAGGAGGCAAGCACTCAGGCACACCTGGGAGATATTATTTTCAAGCTTCAGGCTTGCCTGTGAGAGAAAGAGCCCTCTCCCCTCCACCCCACCATTAGGTGCCCTCAAAGTGAGTGGCACCATTCCCTGGTCTGGGGTCTTGGATTGTATCAAAGGAGAAAGCTAGCACAAATACCATTCCAGCTTCCTGGCTGGATAAGGCTGCTTTAAGCTCCTGTTACAATGAATTAACTCTACCCTTAAACCAGAATAAACCCCTCTCTCTCTCTCTCTCTCTCTGTGTGTGTGTGTGTGTGTGTGTGTGTGTGTGTGTGTGTCCCAGGCAAGGCCTTTGGGTGTGCAACTCTATTACCCTAAACTTTATTGCCTTGAGACAGGATCTCTCACTGGACCTGGAGCTTTCCCTTTTTCACCTAGGCTGAGTGACCAGCAAGCCCCCAGCTCTCCTCCTGTCTCCACCCCATCCTCCACCTCCTGACTTCAATGCTGGGCTGCCGGGCTTTGTAAGGGGGTAGTGGGAATCCAAACTCAGGTGGTCATGCTTGCACCCACCGAGGCACCTTCTCCAGCCCCTACTGTTATTATTGTTCAGCAAGCCAGAGCATCAGTGGTTATGTCAATTAAGCAGGCATCCTAGCCAAGCTGTTAGGTAAGCTGCTAGGATGGCATGTTGCTTTCCTGGGTGTGGAGAGCCTGCCCTTAACCAACTCGGGTTTCAGGTGGCAGAAGCAGCTTTTATCTCTGGCAGCAGACAGAGATCTTATCTATGTCTCTGCAGAGGGAAAGATGCTGCAGATGGTTAAACAAAATTCACAGGCATACACTCCATCACCAAGCTGTGTACCAAACTGAATCCTTGCTGTCAATTTAATGGAAACCTTAATTAAACTTGGTGCCTCCAAAGTCAGGTCCTAAGAGCTGTTTGTAGTCCCGTCAAATCTGGGAGCATGCGCTAGAGAGCCCTTCCTCCTCAGCGGTCCCTAACTTACAAATAAAAGCCCTTGAGAAATGGCTTATCATCCACAGTCCTCTGCAGTAGGCGGTGGATGCAAGTGGCTGATAAAAATGAAAATGAGGTACAACTGTAACCCACACTAGATAGAAGAATATACCCACTTCTAAATAAATTTGTGTCAACAGTATACTGGAAGTAAATTCTAGATTCAAAATTGGCACTTCGGTTCAATGCACTTTAATTTTTATCAGGCTTGAGACAAACAGTAATTTTCAAAGTGCCAAGTCATTGTTGAGCAGGGAAGCCGAACGTGAAGCTTTACATTTTGTACATGGTACACAGCACCATCTGCTGGAATCATGTGGTATAACAGTTTTGAAAATTTTTCCAAATAGGAAAATGTTTCCCAACTCAAGATTGCACTTGAAGCATCCAATAAATACAATTTACTTTCAAATCCCCAAAACAAATCATGACAAAATGTTTACATATTTTCAATCCATTTTCATAAACTGTCATTTTAAACCAACTGAATAAAGATTGCTGCATAGCAAAAGGAAAAATACTTCAAAAGAGCTTCTGAAACCAGACACTTGGGAAATGAAAACTGAACAAAAGCAAACTGGCATTTATAATTCCCTCTTTCATATGGTCTGTGTATATGGATTTGCCAGCAAGTAGATGTTATGACCATCAGTGGGTCCAAGTAATGACCTCAGCTGTGTGGCTCCAGG